GTAGTGAAAGGGGGGGGGGGGGGGGAATGGGGACGGGACACACACACAAACAAACCCAAACATACACAATATACATGCTTACATTTTTTTTTCTTAAATTACAAATTGCATCTTTTTTGGATCAATAGGGAGAGCCGGGCAAAAAAAGGTATCCCTTCCTTCATCATATCTTGGCAAGGGTGTCAAATTCATTTCATAAACAGTGGTTTGTTGGCAGTTACTACTTTAAGGCACTAGATTGCAACTAACCATTATATCTGCTGTTTGGTAGAGACACTGGTGCTGACAAATACTAACCTGAACATGGTTGTGTTGATCAAGCTGGTTTTATTGTTGTTTGAATCATGCATAGAGGACATGTCCAGTGCTGGCCAGCAGATTAGGATTTACAGAAACCATCTAGGTCAGAAATCCATCCCTGGGAGTTGGGCCTAACCTGGTCAGATATGGAAATGCCATACTTACTCTGTACCTATTTTATGCAAGTTAAGAAATAAACCACCAAGTACAGCCTGTAGCCTTTACTAAAAAGGCACTTGATCTCCTGGCTTTAATTCAGTTAATGCAGTCAGCAATCTTTTTACTGTTCAGGGACCTGATCTCTTTGTGTTTATGTATTTAAACACAGTCCCACTTCCAGCACTCTTTCAAAATACAGACACCCATTTCACATTTTGCTGGGTGCTGTTTTGTTTTCTCCTTTTTCCCCCTCTGCAACTGCAGCCATAATAGTCTATGGTTTGAAGAAAACACAGGATTATAATCCATCACAATTTAAACCCAAAAATCAAACAGAAATCATGGAGTTATCCAGTCTCTTAAAATACTGGAAAAATTAAAACATTTTTCAATATAATAATATGCACAATTCCTTACAACTAATGGCATATTTTTGTAGAGTTGCATTGTCTACATTAAAGCCAATTTTGTAGAATTCATTAAGTTTGGGTATTTCCTTAACTCTTTACTAATCGTCTACATTTCATATGCACACGCAAATTAAACAGGTATATTGTTATTTAGGTTTCATGCACATGCCATATACTAGAACACTAGCCTTATGATCAAATACGTGCATTTACCGGTACCTTACAACTGTATATTGCAGCAGAGAGACCAAAATACAGTGAATTACAGAATCCATTGCTTAATGGTAAGATTTACAAAGTAAGTTAGGTGTAGCTTTTGGGGAGGCTGCTATATTCATGATGACGCTGTCAGAACTACTTCTGCTAGGCATTTGTTTGATGTTGTTCACATGGATTAGCCGCTCGTTGTTTTCTAGAACTAGAGATAATCAGGAAGTTTTGTAATCAAAATCTGTTGAAAGATGGTAGTGTTTGAATGCCAACATGAAGTTCACCCACAGTAAGTAAAAGCTGTATTCTTTGTTGCTTAAGATGAATGAAGTACAAGTGTATAAGTGATGTAAACTACATTTTTAAAAGAATACCTGGCCCAGCATGCAATGGGTACTTGGCAGCTACATTTCAAACTTATTGTTCATATATTCTTGATAGCATCACATGCATGTCAGATCAGATGTAACAAAATGAAAAGGTTATCTAGGATTGAAGAAAAAGTTGGATTTATGTAGAACCAAGGTTGTTGTGACAGTCACTTGTTTCCAAAACCCAAACCCCCAAACAACCAACCAATCCTCTCTCTCAACCACAGGAAATAAGGTATTGAAAAATAACACTTTTCCCTTCACATATGCAACGTAAACCTTTTATCCTTCAAATGTTTCTCAACAAACATCAGCCTATTAGTTTCATTCAGAAACCCGCAGGCTATCTAGTTTTCAAGCCAACTATATAGCAAAGCGTACTGAGAATCCACTGTGCTGACAATCATGCTCAGAATTAAAATACAGAACACCAGCTACAGTTAAGTTTGCACACCTGAATTCAAAACTAATGGGAATAATTTTATTAATTGTAAAATAAAACAATTTGGGATAGATATTAAGGAAGAGACTACATGAACAGAGAGAAGGAAAGCTTCTTGAAACTTTGAATAAGGATTTTGAAGCGTTTTGGGGAGCTGTGTGTGTGTGAATTAATGCCAGTCTCAGCTGGCAATTCTGGAAGACAGACATGTTTTATTTTCATGACACATTTCTTATGTCAGAACAACTGGTGTCATACATGTATCTCATAGTGGTAAGTGGATTTCCCTTCTCATAACACTTGTAGCACAAACCATATGTAACCTACCACCACCATGACATGGGATCACACATGAGAGATCAGCCACTGGAGCCATTAGCAACTGCTACATCAGGAGCTGACATTAAATCACCTCTTGTTCCAAATTCAACAGACCAAATCATTTCTGCCTAGACCGTCTCATATTCACAAATACAGACTTAAGAGAATATCAAAATGTAGGTTCTGCTAAAAAAAAAACACCACCACCACACACAGAATTCAGCTTTATGAAGTGAAAACAGTAAAATCAGATCTCCCTGAAGGGCCTGTAACCATTATTGCAAGAACAACTCCTGAGACTGGCAACAACAGAAACACGAGCCAAACCCAGCTGGTTTAGTTTCACTGCCCAAACTGAAGTGCAAAAATAAGTTAATTAAAAAGTTCTTCACTCAAGGTGCTATTAATAGAAAGTCTTCTAGAATGAAGTGTAACTCAAGCATTCCTTTGGAAAGGCCAGAACTTTCTAGCTAAGAAGAATTTACATGTAGGACCCCAGTTTATCAGGATACTTCTGCTATATTACAGGCAGGCTCCAAACACTGCAATAGTTAGAAAATACCTCATTATAAGAAACTACAGCATAGCATTAGTCTTATTCAGCACAGATCTGTGGGGAAGGTACAGTGCATCCAGATGTTCCTGTTTAGGCTTTTTGGTTTAATCAAGTTCACTTTATATGCAACCATTAGGCATGTTAAAAGCTAAAATTTTGTTCCGCTAAAACTCTAATTGCATTTTTGCCCACTCTTGATTTGTCCGTTAGTAGCAGCAGTTTTACAGTTGTATTCTAGGTGTGCTATTAGCCAAGACTATGAGAAACTTTGGAAAGGCTCCGTTGTTTTCCGACGTCTCTGAACAATAACAGCATTTTGCAAGTTAGCTTCTTCCAAAGTGAGTGTTTCATCCTGTAGCTCTAAGAAAGGTAGAGATGTGGTTAAGGTGAATGGAACGCTTCCCTCCACTCCTTGATACTGCATGATGAAGTCTCTGACATGGCTTATTCTGAGAAGAAAAAAGAAAATGCAGTCAGTAAAAAGCTCCTATGCATTTCAGTCAATAGAACGAAGCAGTGCACAAGTCCTGTGAACACATAAAATACACACAGCAGACTCTGTAACAGTCTCCACAGTGCAACCCTTTCCTAACTAGGGGAGCTCACTTTGGTGTGAGGAATTTTCCTATACAGTCTCTCCTTTCCTGCCACGATCTGGAACAAAGCCCTATACGTGAAGATGGGCAGAGACAAACCTCCAAAGCTAAACACTACACACCACGCTCTGTATTCACTGATGATTTGGGGAATCTCTGAACCTACGTGTTTTAATGGATATTAGAATTTACTTATGAAAACTGCTTATTACAAGATGTCTTTTTGCAAGTGTGGAATCCAGCACAGGCCGGCACAGCTGCATTACACCTCTGACAGCTAACAGACAATGGCAAGCTGCTAGAGCTCAACTGCCTATTTAGGATGAAGCACCTTGGGACAATGAAAGGACATCTGGAGTTGAAGGGTAAAAAGTTACCAAACGGAGACTTCAAAGTGATTGCTAACCTTTAAAAAGGGCTCACTGAGGGGAAAAACTCAGAAGAAGACAGAGGAAGCTCCAGGCAGGTACATAAATTGAGCATACTTTAAAAGTTGAGCAGGGAGCCTGGCACAGCTGCAGGGCTGATCACGTCCTGAAGGAAGCCAAGCAGGTAGTTCATGGTTTGGACAGACCTGGCATCCCTCAAGAACCAGGTGAACTACAGCAAAGGGCCATGTATTCAGGATTACCCTTTTTCAAGCAATTTCTCCCTCAACCTTGTCACATACAGTAATGCTGCCGCTTTCAAGACCTTTGTCCAGAGTTTTTCTGCCTGATTAAAGCTACTCTATTTTGCGGCTCCTGAGGCGTTAAACCCTAAACCAAAAAGTGATTTCCCTACTGGGATTCTGGCAAAGCATGTGTAAACCAGAAGGGAAAAGTCAGTACTGGACCCAGGGGCTCAGCAGCTAGAGTAGAGGCTCTCAACTTTATTACATTTAAGGCACTCCTCAGAAAGGGCCAGCTCGTTGTTTTCATTCATTTTGTTGCAAAGACCTCGGAAAGACCACAAGTCAGAATGCTTTTGACACCACGGATTCCTAGTTGAAATCTGAGTTTAATTTATGACTCATGTAGCTGTTTGCTCACCTGGCAGTGCGAATATTGGTACCTTGTTTGGGAGTCATCAGATAGATTATGAGGCCTCAGTCCCCAAAAAAGGGGAGCAGTACGGACAGAGGGTTTATAAGTTTTGAGCATGTCCACTCAGGGGTAGCATTTCAACTCGGCTCAGTTTCCAGAGAGACTTAACCCAACTCAACATTTAGCATCCGAGTCTTCTCCCGTTAAGCTGTGAATCAGCCAAGAGAGGGCACTTGCCTGTCTTGGACACTCAGTGACCAGTCCACTAGTTCAACTGCTCTATTAGCTATGCTATATCAACTCAGCACTACTCTTGAGTTGGTTAGTTTTCTTCTGCTCTGCAAATACAATAACCTCAAATGCTGCCTTCTTTGAGGCTTCGGTTCTATCGCTTGGCAACTTTTCCCTGTGCCAAATTCATATTAGAAACAGCAATTGTGGAATAACCATCCCACTCTTTTTAAGGCAAAACTACTTTATCTGTAACTCAAGCCCATAAGACCATGTGCTAGAGAGTGTTACCTTTTTAGCTCTCTAATCAAAGGCCTGATATGCAGCAATAATGTATTTTTCAATAGAATGCATGTATAAGATTCACCTTCTAAAAAAAGGGAAAAAACTGTGAAGAGAAAAGATTTTAATATAAATATGATCAAATTTTGGACAACTTATTACAGTTATTTTAAATGATTTTTCATGACCTCTTTTCGCTGCAAGATGCACCCTAATTTTAGCCTTCTAATTTTATCGGGGGGGGAGGGAGTTATACACAGAAAAGCATGGTACTGATCATGAACAACATGGAACCTAAAGGCATTCTTCCTTAAAAACTACCTCAATGTTTCTAGAAATTTTTTTTTAAGTTAAAGTGCACTTACATACCATCTCAGACTAACTGGTGTACAACTCCAAGTTGAAGGAACACCTGCTGTAAGTATTTTCTGTCAATAAGGTCATATGAATGGGGCTGTTGTTCTGCTTATAACAGCAGTTTGAGACACAATAGGAGTGAGAACTATTACCATTAGGGGCAAAAGTTTCTAATAATTTAATACACACAGGGTTTGTAGTCGCAATGACATCTCACTATGTCAATGGAATGTGAAAATTAAAAGGAATCTTTTTAGGTTCACAGTATTGCATTGCGTTTTGCAGTTGGATTGCAACTGCCAAGCTTTCTTAAGTTGCTATTCTTACAGGACATAAACCCATATGCAGTGTACTACAGAGAGCAATATGACTCAGCCTGGTGTTGAAAATAAACCTATGATCATTTAGCTGCTTCAAAAGAAACATGCAGAACAAGATATTAGTTGTATATACTGCACAGCTGTGCTCCTGGGACAGTAAGTTTTCAGTTGGGAAAAGGTCACTGAATGTTGTAGGGCTACAACCTAGCACTTCTTGAAGAATCCCACTTAGAATCAGGGAATCATAGACAATTAGGGTTGATGGGGACCTCAGAAGGCAAGTTCTTTTAGTCCGGTGGTTTTCAACCCATAGTTTGCAGACCCCTAGGGATCTGCAGAGCACATCTAGAGGGATTGCAAAAGGTGGCTATAAAGATGGTGGCCCTGCCCCAAGGTGAAGTGCTGCCAGTGCTGCTGCTCCATCCCCACCATAGCCAGAAGCTGCCCAAGACCCAGCAGCAAGCAGCCCAGCACCAGCAAGAAAAGCGTGGCCAGGCAGCCCTGCCTCATTTTGCTGCCAACACTGCTTCGTGCGAGACCCAGAAGCACTGCAGCAATATCAATCTACAAACTAACACATGTGCATGTATCAAAGAGTACCTTCCAGTGTGGAAGGAATTTCTGCTGGGAAAATTGCCAGTGTTTTGAGGCACTTCTGGAAAGCTTTGAAATAAGAACTGGACATATTTTTAGTGAAAAATTAGGTCCTACAAAACTCACGGGAGACCACCAGTAAAAGTCTGTCTGGTGGGCCATAGGGATATCTAACTAGCTCAGTCTGTGCCCCAACTTTTCATCTTCACAACACATCTAATACATGTGAACATGTGAGGGTTTGACAGGGCAATCCAGGGGAATCCCTGGGTGAATGGCTGCCTGTGCATGTAGAGGACTGTGCCTAACAGTTTTCATCAAGAAGCTTCAAATCTGGGTTTTCTCAAGTAAGAGAAAACAACTTTGACACACTTGAAACCCTTGACAGCTTTTTGGCTGAAAATGAGTTGATGCTGGTCAGCGATGTGAAAAGCAAAATCGTGAAACGCTTGCTGGAGCTTGAATCTCAGTTTCACCAGTACTTTCCTGAAATGGGCCATGAGAATGAGTAGATACGTAACCCCTTTGTAACAGACTGCAACTCTAACTCCGGTCTAACAGGAAAAGAGGAGGATCAATTAATCGAGTTATCTTGCGACAGGGGACTGAAACAAATTCAAGCAGGATCTTCTTGCCCAATTCTGGTTGAAAATAAAAAAAAAGGAGTACCCTGATGTGACAGATAAGGCCATTAAAGTCTTTACCACCATGCACTTATGTGAAAGTGGGTTTTCAGCCTTAGTATCAATAAAAGCTAGAGGTGCACCAATCCATCGGTCTGATATCAGATCAGTACCGATATAAAGAAAATTGACTGTATCGGATATTGGCCTAATAGGGCCAATACTTTGGCCGATAAATGCTTGTGCTGTGCGCAGCTGCAGCGCAGCACTCAGGCAGTGAGGAATACAGCCCAGCAGCGTGGAGAGCTGCCTCAGCTGGTAAGTCCGCTGTGCTGGAAGGGGGAGGGAAGGGGCAGATCAATGTCCCCCCGCGGTGAGGGAGAGGGCAGGCACTGCCCAGGCAGGGCAGGGCAGGGCCGCTGCTCATGGGGAGGCAGGGGGCAGAAATCCCACTGCTGCTTGCAGTGGGGGGGGCTGGGCGTATGTGCCCCCAGATCTGCGCGGGGCAGGGCTCTTCTCAGCAGGGTCTGGGCTCGGAGCGAGTGCTGGGAGGATGCTGCATCCACCCCAAATTTCGCTGCCGCTCCACTCCCAGCACTGCCGCCACCAGCTGCAGCACTGGCTCTTTCCAGCGTGTGGGTGGAGGCAGGGTGTTGAGCAGGGGCTGCACTGGCCAGCTGGCGGTGGCTGAGCTGGGAGAGGAATGGCGGCAAAATTTGAGGTGGATGCAGCATCCTCCCAGCGTTGCTAGCGCCCACTCCGAGCCCAGCACCTGCCGAGAAGAGCCCCA